TCTCAATAGAACCCTCAGGCAGTGACTCTCAACTCCCACCTTATGCGTGTGGAAACTTAGGCATAAATAATTCAAGTCTTAAGCAAATTAAGAAACATAGGATTCAAACATCAATCTGTGGGATTTGCATATTGGGGATGACTGGAGACAGGCACCATCTTTGTCTTGGTGTAAGACTTCAATGGGCCGGAAAGCTTGCACATGGTAGGCAAATGTTTTACCACTGAGCTACATCCTCAACTTGAGGTTCATGGTTTATAAAGTATTTTGCTTTAAAAAAAAAAAAAAAAAGTCTTTATGACTTGACATTCAATGCAAATTCAAACAAAATTCCAAACTGGTAAAAAGGTGAAGTAGAGTGTTGACCTACAGGTTCATCATGGCCAGAATAGGAGATGTTCCTATAGGATCACTTGGCCTGCTTCACAATTTTCCTTTAAATATTTCATCAGATAATGATTGTGTTAATAACTTATAGCAAAAGGGAAAGTCAGTACAAAGCAAATAAATAACTTAGAGTTATATATTGACTTCCCCCTGGACATCATATACCAAAGTAATTAAAGGAAACTCTAAATTTCCCAGAAGAAATGAGCACAGCAAGAAGAAAGCTGTGTCCAGAGCTGTGGGTACAAATGATGTGGAAGGTAGAAGAGAAATTCCCACAAAGAGGGGACCTGAAGGCCAAAGAAAAAAGAGGAAGCCAGCTCTCCAAAAACCAGAGTAGCCAGTTCTTTAGCTAGGCTACAGCTGGGAAAAATAATATGGTACATGTATTATAGACTTCTTGGCCCAACATAAGCTCTCTGGAAATGACAAAAAGCACCCAATTCTACAGATTAAGCCATGCCTGGGGATGCATGTGCTCTAGAATATCCTAAACAACTGAAATTGACCCTGACTCAATTATAATTAATTATAATTTCATTTATTTTGTGGTTTTGACCCTTCCCCCACTGTGGAGTTTGGGTGCCATGACAGTTCCTCAAAGGCTCATATGGGAACAAAAAACTCCCCTTCTAACAGAAAGGAGGAGACTTTTCATGATTGGATTGGATTGCCACACCAGCTCAAAGAGCTACTCCCTCCCTGTAAAAATCACATATAGGTTCTGACACCTGGCTTCTTTGGGGCTATCAGCTCAATTCACTGGCCCATTCCCACCCTGAGAAACATATCGTGACTAATATATCTATGCCTTTACTTCTACCTCTGTGTGTTCTTCAGAGTGTTAAATCCTGAGTAGGATGGTGCAAATTCACTGTCAGGAGGTATTGAGAAGCCTGGGGGAGCCTATCCTGAGCAAAGTGGAAGAATTTGATGAGTAGTTACAGACAGCAGAAAAAGGGATAAAAGGGGTCAGATTGGGTATACTGGGGTCTGCTACGTGAGTCCAGAAAATAAACAGAGGGTTGTGTCTGCAAAAGACCAGATGATATATGTCTCAAAGAGGCCAGTGGAGGATACTGGTGAGGTAACAACACTATGAAGTGTAAGGGTAGCCCCTCTGCAGGCCAAGGCTAATAGCACAAGAGGCATGCTTAGAACCTGGCTCATCGATGACACCAAGGATATTTCATACACCTGCTACCAAGCAAGAGCTAGAAGTCAGGCAACAGCACCTAATATCTAATGATTGGCAAGGTAACTGTGTATCCAAGGAGCCACAGCCTGCAAAGAACAGTGCAGATGATTGGTAGAACACGTCATAACCTAAGCAGGACACTTGGCTGATTGCTTTGCCCCATGGATATAATTCATAGGACAAGAATGAAGAATGCAAAACTAAGCAGCATTCATGATGGTCTTGATTTCTTGCCCAACTCTTACACCTAAGAAGGTTTTTGGACCCAGAATCCATTGACTAAAGAAGTGTAGGATACCCAGAGAAAGAATCTTCAAGATAAGTGTATAGTCTTTTGATTTTATCAATTCTTTCCCAAAGAGATTTATGACCATTTGAGACTATACCCTGATGAAGGGAAAATACAGCTATTTAAAGAGCTGTTTTAGATATAAGATATTAACTTACATTCATGCCCCCATGTCTCTCCCATCTTCATGATTGGGTGGAAGTATGGTTAAATACAAGCTTTTGAGAGCCAGTCTGTGACTGGTCACTTAGATAGGGTGAGCTTCCCCAGGAACACTGTCTCTTTAGACCCATCTACTGGTTATTTTTCAAGCCCCTGAAAATGACTGGTTATGACATCTTTGGAGTAACCCATATATTTGATCCTTAGCCTGTGAGGTCAGAGCTGTCACTGTAGGCAAGGTCATCTAGAAGCTACTTAAACTGCCCCTTCCCCAAGACAACACCCAATATAATACAATGCATGCAGAGGCAATTGCAAAACTGTCACTCTTAAGAAGACTAGGGACACAGGGTGGTTTTCCTTTCCCCATCTCTATGTTATTCACCTATCTTTCTTCTTCAGAAACTAGGGATAAGTTGCAGAATAACTGTTGATGACCCTAAGATCAGCAAAGTATAAGTTCTAATCCCAGCTGCTGGGCCAGACATAGAAGCACTGTGATAGCTTGGTTGGCACTATACACCCACTGATGTGGACAGCGCAAGAATTTACACCCAACTGGGAATTATCTGAATTCACACAGAACATTGGATAATATGCATTCATTTTGCATACTGAAACCCTCCCAGCTCTGACAGATTATAATTCAAGAAGGCTGAGCAGGCTATGGAACATCACACCAATCCATTATGGGATGCACCTTCCTGATCATACAGGAAGAGCAGGAGGGGCCCATGGTAAGAAAACTCTTAAGGCAGGAGAGGACTACAAGGAATTTGGGGACCTGCTATTTCAGGAAAGATTTTAGAAGTCAAGAGGTGAAAGGCATGTTTTACAGGAAATAATAAATTGCAGCCAATCGCATCTATACTCACATAGAAGCACATTTTCTCATAGGATCCACAGGGCTCTGTAAGCTGTTCTCCAAAAAGGTTTTCCTTCCTACCCACATACCAGGTGACACAAAAGACTTTGTCAATTTGGGTGTGGTGAGGGAAGGAAAGTGGTCTGCAGCAGTGAGTACAAAGGCCCTGATACTGAGACGATACCTTCAGGCAGACACTAATGTGCTGGAGGCGTCAGTGGTGGGAAAGGGTACATTGTGCATCTGGTGGTAAACCCCATCTGGAGAAAAATCAAAGTGCAGAGTACTCGGGGTTCCAAAGCCATGCCCTATGTCTGCACCACATAGGACAATCCTCATAAAGCAGAGTAACCATCTCTCCCATTGGTGCCTGAAGCACCAGCTCAGAGGCAAGGCTCTAAGGATGGGTGCCAGCCTCCAGGATGCAGAATGTATACTGAATTGGAGGTTTTATGTGTTTTTTTAACCCAATAAGAATGGTGAGTCTAAAACCAAGGAGTAGAAGCTGGTAGCTTTTCTTACTATCATTCCCAGTGGCTCATAGAGACTGCATAGACCTCTTACAATCTCGGTGCTGTGGAATGGGAGGTCCTAATCCTAAGGAGAGGAGCTCTGGAGAACCAGGAGGAGGAAGGTTCATTCTTGCCAAGGGCCACAGCAATGGTTGCCATGAAGTGTAGATTATGACTGCAGCCCTTCCACTCTGAACTCCTGTGTCTAGGGACCACTAGGCAGGAAGAGTTGTCACCATCCTAGCAGGGCTGACTGGTGTCTGAGGTGGAGGTGGACCTGCCATCATACAAGGGCAGGGAGGGCTGCATGTGCTCAGGTGACAATTGGACAATTCTTAGTCTCTCTTATTGTGAAAGCACAATGCACCAGCCTGAGAAGGATGTGTCTACCAGGGGCTTTTACCCTTCAGAGGTGAGAGTTAGTTCCCACTACCTTATCTGGGTTGGGGGAGGTATAAAATAGAGGTAGTAGTTCAGGACCAGGAAAATCTCAGAGTGAAAGTAGGAGAGGGAGATGATGAGTACTAATACGGCCCTGAGGCCAACTTTAACATAGACTTCTCCCCTTTCCTGTATTTTCCCTCAGGAAGAGGACCCCCTGGACCCAGGAAGATGTGAGCTCCATTAATTAGACTGTGGAGATAACACACTGTCCTCTGCTACAGACTGTGCCTCCATTAAGCAGTTTTGTAATTGTGGATGGACATAATTCTAAAGGCTTTGGGGCTTAGAGAAAAAGTCAAATATATCACCTTTCCAAGCCAAGATTTGCTTTCCCCAGAATGTGGAAGGAGATACTGTCCTGTGTCATGTACCCATCTTAACATGGATGTAACTTTAAATAGAGGAGTCAAATGCTGAAATTACTAAGAAACAGATGAAAAGAGTTTTTTAGCATGGCAGTCCTTAACCAAAGAAGTAAGTTTCTTCTCCGCTACATTCATGAATCTCACAGCACTGCTCAAAGCAGCAGTGCCCATAGAGTCAGGCATGAGCTTTAGAGTGCACGTATGACCCTTAGAAGAAGGAAATAGTCCTGATCCTTGGGACAGATGACTTTGTGGGAGCAGATTGCCACTCATGGAGGGCAGCACGTCTTCCTGACACTAGCATTTTCCTGGAACTATCCCACATACCAAGCTTCCCTGGACACAGACAAGAGGAGAATCCAGAGAGTCCCCCAAATAAAGTAAGGTTCCCAGTCATAGGTTTAGAAGAGAAGGGCCATACACTGAGATGAGCATATACGACAATTCTCAGAAGGAAGATAAGTGGAGCGTTGGCCTAAATATTTCCCTATTCTGAGTAAGTACTTGGGAGTGCTATTAAATATCCATAGATCATTATCCTGTGTTCTTGAACTGCTACTTGGGGCAACTCTGTAGGGTTGAAACAGTCTCCATGTGGCACCTTATAACCATATCAAGATCCTTCTAGAGATTAGTGCCTGGCAGTGGTCACTGAGTATAAATCTGGTGGTGTGTTGGCATTTTCACACAACTGATCCCTTGGAATATAGGGTTCAAGTCTCCCTTTGGTGGAAAGCTTCTTAGGCAGCCATTTACTCCCAATGTGGATGCATTCTACTTACAATACTTCACATAACTTTTTAGGACTGTAGAGCACATTGATTACTTCACGACCATCTCCGACAAGCAAGCTGACCTTGTGCATGTTTCCCTTCTACTTTCATATGTGGTTGAAACAGCACAACATGGAGTAGGAGATCTGGGTTCTTGAATACGCTGTAGATGCTAGAAATATGGGGTCCAGGTCTTCAGAGGGTGAGCTTTGACCTATAAAGGAGATGGAAAGAGCAGGCTGATACATCCCCCTGTTTCTCACTTCCCTAGACTACTCCAAACTGCAGTTGCCTACCTGACTGATGCTTCTGGGTCAGGGGAATGGGACAGTAAAGCAATATCTATGTCAACTTGATTATTTGTGGCTATGAAGCTAGAGAAGATGTGCAGTGCTATACTTTGCTTCCCATCTTTCTTATACCACTCATTTCCTTATCCTCTCCATCTTTGCCATCCTAAGTGGCCCTGGGCCACACTGTACAGCCAGTGAGTCCTGTACTGGGCAGTAAACCAAGGCCTTCATGCCCCACCATGCTCAGTGGCTGCCAAGAGCTGTACAGAGAGAATGCATCCTCAGCTCAGATGCTGAGAAGAATCCTGGGCACTGAGGGGCATTTCCAACTGTCGGTGCCATCTTCCTTGACAGAAGAGCCAAAGTGTATAGTTCATGTCTGCCCCAGCCTCACCGTGCCACATCAGCCTGCTTCTCCATGTGTAATAGAAAGGTCTGCCCAGCCTCTAGACTCCGGTCTTCTCAGGGGAAACTTGGAGGGAGTTGGAGGACTGAACCATAGCCTGCTTACCATAGCAGGTCTAACCCTGTCCCATGAGCATAGCATTAACCCATCATCTCTTAAATTTTCCACCTCTCAACATTCATGTTAGGGATTAAGTTTCAACACACGAACTTTGGATATGTTAAAATCATAGCACCATGATGGTCAGTTATCACACACACACACATACACACAACACACACACATACACACAGCTCTAGATCAACACTAATCTACTTTCTGCTCTCTGAATTTGTCTGTTCTAGACATTTCCTATAAATGGAGTCATATAACATATATATGTTACATAATTTATATGTTACATGACTTGTGTTTTGGTTCTCATGTGGCAGAATGTGGTCAAGATTCACCAGGCACCACTCCTTTTGCTTGGCCTCAGTGACATCAGTCTGATGTGAAGGCAACACCCCCACTCTCGCCTACCACTTCTTTCATCTGACTTTGATGGAGGTCTTTGAGCAAGAGATATTTTCCCATGCCATATGACACAAACACCAAAAGGCTGCTGATCTGGTTTTCTAGTCAGCTGGAATCTTTTCTCAAAATAAAATGAGTCACAGACTTAAAGTATCCTTCAAGAACAAATTTTCACCAAGGCAGAACCTTGGTTTGTTACTTAAAGACAGGGACTCAGGTGGGGCAGGGGCAGTCTTATGGGCTCTAGGTTTTCAGCTGGACTCATGCAGGACATTGCCATGAGATTCAGGCCTTCAGCTGGATTCTTTTGGTCTTTAGTGAGTGAACAGATTTCCTGTACTCTCTTTGTATATCATTCTTTGGGTAACTATTATAAAATAACTCTATAAATTATGTGCCCTGTACTGTTCCCCTTGTGAACCCTGATTACAACACATGGTTTTGTATCAGGAATTAGACTTTCAAATCAATTTCAAGAGAACATAATTTCAATAAATGGGATATCATGTAGCTTGATAGTCAGTGCTTTAGAAATGTTCACTACATTTTACTATATCTTAGTGTTTCCAAGAAATTGTTAACAAACTCCCTAAGTTCAGTTTTCTAAAAATTTAATGTAAGTGACTTAATATTCTTCTTACTTCCTCCCTCAGGCAACTTTTAAGCAAAGTCCCTTCTCATGGTTCCTTTCTGGTAATTAGTAATCTTTCACTATTTAAAAAGTAAAAAATTTTGAGAATGATAACTGCAGAATCACATTCAGGTATAAGAAATGCAGATTGTCTGTACTGTTTACACAGTCTTCTTTACCCCATTTTTCCGGTGGTGACATCTTGCAAAGCTACAGTACAGTGATGGTGAACCTTTTGGAAACCAGCGCCCAAACTGCAACCCAAAGCCCACGTATTTATTGCAAAATTCAAACACCACAATAAAATCTGAATACCATATAGCAACAAATTTTGTCTTAAAAGAAAAACAAATAACATGCATGTCAGAGGTTCACCACCACTGCTATAGGACAATATCACAGTCCAGATGATTGTATCAGGCTGGCTGATACAATCAAGATACAAAACTTCTCCAACCACACAAGGACCCCTCACCTTGCCCTCCACAGCCAAACCCACTTCTATCCTACCCCCACTCTCTCCTTAACCCCTGGCAACCTCACATCTCTTTCAGTCTGTTTGATTTCAAGAATGTTACAGGGTCACTTAAGCCTCTAATTAAGAATTAGCCATTTGACTTCAGATGTGGGAATGACTGTGTTCTGGAGCACCCTTCTTGTGGGGACTGACTTACATGGAGATAATTTAGTTGTGAAGATTTAGGGCCTATGAAACTTCTGATACTCTAGTATCTTCTGTTGAAAGGATTGGCATTATTGACAATATTGGAATGAGAATGTGTGAAGATTCACAGCAAAAGAAAGGAAGATTTTAAAACAAGAATTTTATACATAGCCTTCAAGAGGTGGGATAAGTAGTATACAAGTACATATTTCAACTCCCAGGTAGTGGCTAAGCAAATGTAAGTTTCTTACCTAGTGAAAGACTAGACTAGGTAGTGAGATGTGGCATATACATGGTTAAAAAAACATAGATGTGATACCAGAGACTCCTCTGTTCCCTCATTCCTAGAAGTCCTGAGCTGACCCCATCAACATTAGCTTCTGTGGTCACTGGGCAGCTACATGGGTGTTTCCAAGGCTGTGTTGCCTATGATGGCCCATTTATTTCATAATGTTTTTTTCTCCTTCCAGGAAATACAGAGGCCTAATGGTCAAGCCTAATTGTCAAGTTGACTGGCTTGGGAGCTACCTAACAGATTAGTAAAGCACACATCTGAGTGTGTCTGTGTGGATCATGGAGATATGACCTTGAGATCTACACCTGGCCCCTGATACTGTTCCCTTGTTTTGCTTCTCAGCCACCATGAGCTAGGCAGCTTAAACACCATAAGTGCAAACCATCACTCAAGAACTTGTTTTTCCCTATAAGATAAGGGGAAGGAATATTGGCCTTGTTCTAGTTGGAATCAAGCTCAATCCTTCATTGAAGTCGTTTGATTGCCTAAATTCAGTGTTGGATCTGTGAAACCCATGGGAAACATCTGCCCACTGTATCTGCAGATCTGGTCACCAGTAGCATCTTTGCTCCAAGTCAAGGAGATGGTTCTATCTAACCAGAAGACTGTACCATGTCTTTCTCTCCCTTGATGCTGCTTTGGGATGCTCTAGATCCATTAGGAAGCTAAACAAGTTAAAGCTGTGCTGGAGAGGCACAGGTTTGCCAGTTGGTCCTATCTTTGGTGGCTGTGGGTTTATTAGGTGAAGTGGTCCGCAAGATACTGTTTATTTTGCAAGGGTGCTTACATAGCTGCCTCACTTAATGGTTGCTGAATACATAGCCTATGCATCATTAGCAGAAACTGACATTCTTCAAATATAAGTAGTAGACTTCCCAGAAAACTACCCAGTGTTGGTAAGCATAAGTGTTTGTAAGAGAGTAGACTATCTCAAGAGGTAGAGGGGCATCAAAATAGTGAGGATGATTGGAACAAAGACTTTAGAGAGAAATCATCAAAAACAAAAAGAGAGCAATCAAGGGCCAAGTTTACATTAACTCTGAACCTTGGCTGCTTTCTTAGAAAAACTACTAAATAACAAATCTCAGAAAGAAGTAATAACAAGTTGGGAAAAGGAGAATCTTATTTTCAGATTTGCTAATAATAATGTTCTGCCTCAACAACAAAATAATTAATGAATGTAGAAAAATTATAGCCCATTTGCAGAAACAAAACACAGAAGCTGTCCTCGAGAAAGCCCAAATATTAAATGTACAAAATGAATATTTTAAACTAACTTAAACATGCTCAAAGAGGGAAAGGTGACAATGGGAAAATTACTGAAGAAAATAAGGAAAACAGTGTCTCCCCAAGTAGAGAATACCAGGAAGGAGAAAAATTATTTTTAAAAAAATAGAAACTGTGGGGGTAAAAGTACAATAACTAGAAACATTTACTATAATGGTTCTATAACAGAATTGAGCAGGCAGGAAAAAGAAACAAGGAACTTTGAAGGTGAATCAATGGAGTTCATCCAGTCTAAGGAACACAGAAAGTTGAGGAAAACGAAATAACCTAAGATCTCTGAGCCACATCAAGAAAAGCAACATGTTCACTGTAGAGAAGGAAAGAGGCAAAAAGAATATTTGAAGTAATAACCACAAATCCCTAAATTTGATGTAAGATGTAAATCTAAATAGCCAAAAACTTAACAAATTCAAAGTAGGATAAACTAGGATCAGTACAAAGGCACGCTATGGTCAAGGCAACAAAAGAAACTTGAAAGCAAGAAAGAAGCAATTCATTAAATACAAATTATCTGAAATAAAATTAGTTTTTCAACAGATTATACAAAGTAAAAGTCAGTGAGATGACATATTTTAAATGTTAAGCCAAACATTTCCATAAAGCAGTCTAGTTTTTTACAAATGGTCAACCGTAATTCAAAAACTTAAATGAAAAATAACAGAAGTAGCTCATAAAATTTAATCTGTGCACCATTCTGTGTTAGATGATAAAATGTGATGCTGTCCTATTCATCTCACTCAGGATGAATCATCCCTTTGTCCACCATATCCACACTGTATATGTTATCCACCAGTTAGTCACTTAGTATCTAGCTAAGTTACCAAATCAAGTCTGTCATGGTGTTATAGACCGTGAGCTCAAGTGACCCTTACCTGGTAGCCTAATTCTAACACAGTACTTACGTTACCTTACTTCATCTCATCTCACAGGCATTGTGTCACAGTCTTCAGAAGAAGGGTGAATACAATACAAAAATAATTTTCAGAAAGTGAGACTACATTTATGTAACTTTTATTACAATATTTTATAATTGTTCCACTAGCTGTTAATCTCTTATCATGCCTAATTTATCAATAAAATGATATATAGGTATGGATATATGAAAAAACACAGTAGATATCA